CTACACGCAAGAGTGACCCTGGGTAAGAGTGACCTTTGGTGCGCGGCTTGTTGGGGGCCAACCCTGGGCGCGCAGGCCGCTGCTAGCGCTTCGTTCTCGGCCATCCGAGGGCCCATCTGTGCCCGCACCAGAGGTCACTCTGGCGAAAGGTCACTCTGACGTCCAGCCGCCTTCTGGCGGTCCCGAGGCCGCGCGAGGCCACCCAGAGAGGCCGACAGCTGGCACAGCGCAGCCCGCCGCTGTGCGTGCTGACGTTCCACGGCGCGAGGCAGACTGGCCCGCCCGGCCCTGTGCGCCGCCCGCCGCGAAGGGGCCCAGGGACCCACCGACAAGCAGAGGAGGAGGAGGAGGAGGAGGAGGAGGAGGAGGAGGAGGAGGAGGAGGAGGAGGAGGAGGAGGAGGAGGGGGAGGAGCAGGGGGAGGGGGAGGGGGGGGCGGAGGATCCTAGAATTCCCCAGATGTTTCCACATCTTCTGGGTCGTCGTCTTCCCCCCCTCACTTGCCATAGCTTCCCATATCGTCCTGGGGATCGACGATTCGTTGTGTCTGGGTGTCTTCCGGGGGCGGCCAAGAGGAGGGCGTCCAAGAGGGGGGGGGGAGGCACAAATCATGGCCGCGGCACGTGCGCGGCCCCCTGGGGTGCCGGGCACTTCTTGAAACAAGAAGAGGCGCCATGCAATCTGGGGAGACACCATGGCCTCCGCCATGACAGCCCCCACCCCAGTAGTCTTCACCCCCCTCTTTGCCGCCCCCGATCCTGGGGAACAGCGACTCCTTGCGCCTGTGTGTCTTCTCCCCTCCTGCCTCTGCCTGCGCGCCGCCGGGGCCAGAGGGCACGCGCCCCCCCCGAGGCGCCGCGGGAGGAGGCCCGTGGCCCCCGCGCCCGCGGGCTCGAGGCGGCTCTTGGGCCAAAATGGCTGCCGCGGAGGGGGCTCCTCTGCCCCGGGTCGATCCAGACCCCGGGCCAGTCAGGCCCTGCAGGATCCTGCAGGATCCCGCAGGACCCTGCGCCCAAGCCCGGGTATAAACGCGAGGGATCCTGCGAGATCCGGCAGGATTCGGGAGCCCACACAGGACGTACGCGCCCAACCTGTGCACAAGAACACGACCCCATCGATCTGCGAGACCTGGCCGCGTGATACGAAGGTTCGCGCAATGCGTTCTCTCGAAACCAGCGTGGATCAACGTACATGTGCGTCCTCCTCTCGCTCCTGGAAGACCCTGCGCGCGCTCTGGCGGGACCTCGCCTGCCTGGGCCCCCGTCTCTCGAGGCCCCGATGCCGCCCGACGTCGACGGCGCTGGCCCCGGGCAACCTTTGCTTTGCGCTCTCACGAGAAGGAACCCTCCAGGGTCTGAGGCCTCCTGGGCACGCTCCTGACCGAACGCCCCCACCGTAGCCATATCTCGGTGGCGCGCCCCGGGGGGGAAGTGTTGGGTCGGGCATGTCCTCCTCCAGGCGGGTTTTGGAAGGAAAAGGAAAGGTAGTCCACACATGCTCCAACCTAGGCCAAAAGCATCGCCAAATCGTCCCAAGACCATGCCTTGATTCTTCTTCGAGGATGCTCCTCCTGTAGAGGGACACGCCCCACTTCACACGAGCGGCGAGCGTAACCGTGCTTCGGTGGCGCGCTCTGGAGGGAAGCGAGAGGGGGCGGGCCTTCTCAGCAGGCTCCGAAGGCCGGGGGCCTCCCGAGGAACTCTCCCGGTGAGCCCCACCCCACCCCTCAGAAATCGTGGGGGGCAGTGGTAGGGTTCGCATGTGGCCCCCTAGATGCGTCCTCTGTCCTCGGGGCAGGGGACGACTTGGCGATGCTTCTGGCCTAACATGTGGCCCCCTGGCATCCCTCGGAGGCGCGGGGGCCTCCGAGGCAGCCGCGCCGCACGTTGCGCATGCCTGGTGGAGCGAGAGTGCGAGCAGGCCGTGGCTGCGGGATGCACGGCCTCCTCGCGGGAGGAGGAGGATGAGGGAGGGGGAGGAGGAGGGGGAGGAGAGGAGGAGGGGGAGAGGAGGAGGAGGAGGAGATGATGATGATGAGGAGGGAGGAGGATGAGGAGGAGGAGGAGGGGAGGAGGAGGAGGAGGAGGCGAGGAGGAGGAGGAGGAGGAGAGGAGGAGGAGGAGGAGAGGAGGAGGAGGAGGAGGAGGAGGAGAGGAGGGAGGGGGGGAGGGGGTGGGGAGGGGGAGGAGGAGGAGGAGGAGGAGGAGGATGAAGGAGGAGAGGAGGAAGGAGGAGGTGGAGGTGGAGGTGGAGGTGGAGGGGAGGAGGAGGGGGAGGAGGAGGAGGGAGGAGGCGGAGGAAGGAGGAGGAGGAGGAGGAGGGAGGAGGAGCCGTGTTTCTGCCACGATGCCCCAGGGTGCAGTGCGGGCTCCCCTCGGCGGCGAGTCTCGCACTGCGGGGTGGCCCACCGCGGGCGCGGAGGCGCTGCATGAGGCCGCGGGAGCCCCCGAGAGACCCCAGGAGGCCCCAGGAGGCTCGAGGAGATCCAAGGAAGCCCCAGGAGGCCCCAGGAGGCCGCAGGAGGCAGCAGGAAGCTTCAATACTACGTGTTTTACGTCGGCTCCTGTAGATTGGGCCTCTCCTGGGGCGCGGATCATTTGTGTTTTTTTACGTCTGCTCCCATCGATTGCACCTCTCCGGTGGCTCCAATCCGAATTGCTTGACGTATGTCCCTCTAGTTTGGGCCTCTCCTGGTGCACGAATCCTCGGTGCTCCTCCTCCATCCTCTTCCTCCCTCCTTCCTCCCTGGTCCTCCCTCCTGCATCCCTCCTGCCTCCTCCTCCTCCCTCTCTCCTCCTCCCTCTTCCTCCTCCTCCTCTTCCTCCTCCTCCTCCTCCTCCTCCTCCCCCTCCTCCTCCTCCTCCTCCTCGTCCTCTTCCATTCCTCCTCCTCCTCCTCCATTCCACCTCCTCATGACTTATTCCTCCCTGTCGCACCCCGAAGCCAATTTTGCGTGTGTGTGTGTGTGTGCGCCTGGCGTTTCGCCTGAGACTTCCTCATCATTTATGACCCTGGAGCTGAGGGCGGGTCTTTTTCATAACGTGGCTCCCGCCGCCGTGCCGCGCACATTCGATAGAAACATTTGCAAGAGCTTCAAGGATTGAGGGCGACTGGCTTTCAACATGTGGCTAGCGCTGCGCACATTCGTTGTAAACATGTGCACGATATTCACGGATTGAGGGCTGATCCTTTTCAACATGTGGCTCTCGCCTTATGGCCGCGCACATTCGTTCTTAACATTTGCAAGAGCTTTGCGGGATTCCATGATCAGCGTACAAGTGGTGTTTTGGACGGGTTCATGATTTTGAGGATTCGACAACTGCGTGGGTACGAGGTGTTGAAGTCCCCAGAATAGCGTTCTGGCACAACTCAAGAACGTCAAGACAACATGACGCAAACATCAGATTGATCCGTGGCGTCAGAATCCCGGGAACAATGTTTTAGCATGCTTCAGGGTCTTCAAACGGTTGTCTTCAAACGAGGCAGTTCCCTCAGTGGAAATGAACCAGTGTAGAGGCCTAGTTCTGAAGAGAGAACTTGGAGGGAGGGTTGGTTCCAACATCGTTGATGACTCTTGGGTTTTCACTTGTCCTCCGCTTCTTCTCCTCCTCCTCCTCCTCCTCCTCCTCCTCCTCCTCCTCCTCCTCCTCCTCCTCCTCCTCCTCCTCCTCCTCCCCCTCCCTCTCTCTTCCCCTCCAAATCCTCCCGATCCTCCCTACTCCCTTCGTTCCTCTTCATAACTCCTCCTGCCGCACCCCGAAGCCAGTCGGAAGGGCGGTCCGGGCGTTTCGCCTGATACTTCCTCATAATCTATCATCCTGAAGCCTTGAAGCTTGCACAGCTTCACAAATGGAGGGCGGGCCGCTTTCAAACTGTGGCTCTCGCCCTCGTGCCGCGCATATTCGTCTTTAAAGAACTGGAGCAGCTTCACATCTTGAGGACAGGTGGTTTTCAACATGTTGCTCTCGCCTTAGCGCCGCGCACATTTGGCGTAAAGAATTGCAACAGGTATACGGATGGAGGGGCTCGTTTTCAAAATGTGGCTCTCGCCTTAGCGCCGCGCGCATTCGTTGTACAAAACTGCAAGAATTTGACGGATGGAGGGCTTGCCGTTGTCAGTATGTGGCTCTCGCCTTAGCGCCGCGAGCATTCGTCTTGAACAAATGCAGCCGTTTTGCGGATTGAGGGCCGTTTATTTTCAAATGTGGCTCTCGCCTTAGCGCTGCCCGCATTCGTCATACAGAATAGCAGCAGCTCCACGGATTGAGGGCGGTTCTTTTTCAACATGTGGCTCTCACCTGAGCGCCGCGCGCACTCGTCTTAAACATATGCAAGAATTTAACGACTTCCCATGGTTGACGTACCAGACATGGCATGTTTGCTTAATTCAGATTTGCCGGGCAGAACTGTTACGTTGATTCGTGTGTTTTAAAGTCCCAAGAACGGTGGGCCGCCAAGACGCAACAGTAACGGTGCTTCGCGGCGCTGAACTCCCAATCATGGTGTTCTGGCACCGTTCAGGGTCTTCAAATGGCTGTTTTGCAACTGGCCACTTCCATCAGAAAAATTATTCCTTGCAGGAGCCCATGAAGAGGGAGCTTGGAGGGAGGGTTGATTGCAATATCGCTAATGGGTCTTGAGCTTACACTGGTCCTCCCCCTCCTCTTCCTCCTCTTCCTCCCTCCTCCCTTCTCCTTCCTTCTCTTCCCTCCTCCTCCTCCTCCTCCTCCTCCTCCCTCCTCCTCCAACTACTCCCTCTCCTCCTCCTCCTCCTCCTCCTCCTCCTCCTCCTCCTCCTGAACCCTCCTCCTCCCCCTCCTCCCTCCCTCTCCCCCTCCCGGGTCCTCCGTCCTCCGCCCTCCTCCTCCGCATCCTCCTTCAATCCTCTCCCCCATCCCGCCCCGCGCGCTCGCGAGAAAGAGGCAGGAGGGACCCCGAATGCTGCATCGGCCAGGAGAGCGGCGACGAGCCCCGGCGGCGACGACGGCGCCCGCTCCCCGCCTCGGGCCCGCCCCACGGGCCGGGGCCCCCGGGCATCATGGGGGCGCCGTCGTCCCACTGCTCGTCGGAGCGCAGGAAGCTGATGCCTCCGCCGCCCCACCCTGCCTCCCTCCTCCGCCTCCGCCGCCGCCTCTCCTCCTCCTCCTCCTCCTCCTCCTACTCCTCCTCCTCCTCCTCCTCCCTCCTACTACTACTCCCTCCTCCTACTCCTCCTCCTCCTCGTCCTCCTCCTCCTCCTCCTCCTCCTCGTCCTCCTCAACCCTCCTCCTCCTCAACCCTCCTCCTCCTCCTCCTCCTCCTCCTCCTCATCCTCGCCGTTCTCATAGGAGGAAAGAAAAGCATAATCATAAGCTGTTGACGGTCCGCACGGACCGTCAAAAGCTGATGCTTGTGCCGTTTTTCTTCTTCGATCTCGGGAGGCACCTCCTGGCAGGTCTTCGTGAGGACATCCACGGGCGATTGTGGCCCTCGAAAGGTACGAGAACGGCACCATTGCACCGTACCATGGTTGGTCTCCTCAATGCCTCGCTCTTGCGGAATACGGTGCATAGTTGTTCGGCTCCGAGGCACGAACGACTGCTGGGAGGCCTTCGCAGTAGGACGCAGAGGGAGGCACCTCCCGGGATGTCTTCGCAGTGGTACGCAGAAGGACATACTAGTACGATGCGCCCCTGTTAAAGGCGCACGTCCAACCCGAGTCATATAGTACAAACTAATTCTAGTACATCGTTATCCAGGCGGTGGGGCCAGAAAGCAATCGCCACCGAACATATACAACAAGATTTCTGGGCTCGCGCGTCACCCTAGGATATCAACACGCACTTCATGTAAATCCGACCAGCCCTTGAAGGCGTGAGTGGTTTAGGGGGGGTCCTCTGCCATCCCCTCTGCTTCCCCTTTGGGGGAAGGGTTTGTCACTGCTCCCTATGAGTAAACACCCCCTTATTCAGGCGACCAGCAGCCAACCAGGGGCAAGGCCACCCTCCCCCCTCATCCCTGTCAAAAAACAATACGAGCACACACTTTGGGGCACAATCTTGGGTCATGCTCGTGGGCCCCGTGAGCACGTTGTATTGCTGTTTTGACCGGGACGGCGTGGGTGCCCTCATATAGCCTGTTTTGCGCAAGGCCGCCATCCCTGTCAAAAACAATACAACATGCACTTTGCGGCCAAATTTGGATCATATGCGGCCACCCCGCGATCACTGCCCACCGGTGTTTGACAAGGACCGCGGGGGTGCTGTCACATTGCCTGCTGTGCAAGCCCACCAGACACCATGATGGCCTGCCCGCAGCAATTGAGCAGTGGTTTTCGACAAGGATGGTGGGGGCAAGCATGCTTCCCTATGTGTGCTGTCACGTGCGCGTGCGCACCTGCCATACCCTGCGCGCGCCCAAAACGTGGCGCGCCTGGCGCGGCTCGACCATGCGGCATACACGGCGCACGCGGCGCATATGGCGCGCGAGGCGCGCCTGGTACGCTTGGGCCCCAGGGGTGTCTGGCGCACGTGGGGCGCCTGGCACGCGTGGCGCACCTCGCCCCAACGCGCACACGGGCATGGGGTCTGTACTGGTTCCCGGCAACTGCCCATCCATAAACGACCGCTGAACATGCTGAGGCCCAGGTGCTACTCCTGTGTCCTGCCACCTGGACGGGACGTTTCGCGAGATGCTGGAGCGTCCAAGATGGCCTCGGAGAGGAAGCCAGCATCATCGAACTTGGTAAGATGTTGGCCACATGTTGGCCTCGTGGGAGGGGGTGAGACCCTAGTTGAGGAGCTCCCCTCCTTTGGCTCGATCTCCTCAAACATCCTCCAAAAGGGCGCCCGAGGCTTCCAAGAGTGCTCCAAGATGACCCCAAGAGGTGCCCAGGAGGCCCCAAGAAGTCCCCAAGATGCACCCGAGAGGCCCTCAAGATGCCCCGAAAAAACTCCCAAGAGACCCCCAAGATGCCCTCCCAGAGGCACACTATACGCCCCAAGATGCCTCGCCGAGGATGCCAGAATCACTGATTGTACTAAGGTGTTGGCCACATCAAGGAGCCCCCCTCGCCCCTCCTTTGATCGATCTGCTCCAAGATGGCCCCAAATGGCGCCCTAGGCTCCCAAGGGTGCCTCATGATGGCCCCTAAGAGGTGCCCCATGATGGCCCCAAGAGGCACCCAGGAAGCCTCCAAGAAGCGCCCAAGGGGTTCCCAAGAGACTCCCAAGAGGCCCCAGGAGGCCCCCCAGAAGCACCCAAGACGCCCCCGGAGGCCCCGGCGAGAATGCCAATATAATTACGTTGACTGAGGCCACGTCAAAATGTTTGCACCCTGGGAGGGGGACCCCAAGTAGGGAGCCCCCCTCATTTGACCGATCTCCCCCGAGATGCCCCCCACGGCTCCCAAGGGTGCCCCAAGACGGCCCCAAGAGGTGGCCAGGAGGCCCCAAGAGGCCCCGAGAGGCCCCCAAGAGGCTCCAAGAGGCCCAAAGCGGCCCCAAGAGACCCCCAAGAGGCCCCTTTTATGAAGTCCCCCCCAGAAGCGCCCAATACGCCCCAAGAGGCCCTCGGCACTGCCAACAGACCCCAGAGGCGCCCTAGAAGGACGACTCCGAGGAGGCATCCAAAAGACCACCTCTGGCCTTTTTCTTCTCGCACTCCGCCTCCTCCTCCTCCTCCTCCTCCTCCTGCTCCTCCTCCTCCTGCTGCTGCTCCTCCTCCTCCTCCTCCTCCTCCTCCTCCTCCGCCTCCTCTTTCTCATCCGCCTGTTCCTCCTCCTTCCTCGTTCCTCCTCCCCCCCACACGAGTCTACAGGCAGGCAATTCGTACTGCCCGGGCCCGCGCCCCACACGCGATCGGGAGGCAAAGCGCTCTCCTGTCGCGGCGGTGGGGTAATCGTGGTGGATAGATCGATGGCCTGGATCAGTTCGGTTTCGAGTTAGGAGGGTCGGTCTGGCCATCCTTTGGCCTTCCTCATTCGCAATGTGATGGTCCTCCTCCTCCTCCTCCTCCTCCTCCTCCTCCTCCTCCTCCTCCTCCTCCTCCTCCTCCTCCTCCTCCTCGTGTTGTTCATCCATCTGCTCCTTCTGGGGGCACGACGTCTTAACCAACCCTGTATTCCTCTGCGTTCTCCTCCACATCCCTGATCAAGGCAACTCGTTTGGGCATCGTTTCTAGATGGGCTGGTGGGGATGTTTTTTGTTCGCGAGCGCAAACGGAAGTGCCGCGCGCTGTCCAGGAAATTGCAAACTAGTCATGGCCTAAATAAACTGGGGGAGATACCTTTTTGGTCAACAGGCTCGCGAGGGGGGGCGGAAGGCGTCCGAACATGAGTCGGGCCGCGACTAGGCAGCAGGAGAACAAAGGCACGCGAAGCGAGCGAGCGGGCAGCCATTCAGAAGGAGAACCATAACCGATACTCCCAAACCTGGTGGCGTTGGAAATCCCAGTGGCGACCAGCAGGTAAGCGCAGCCAAAATGGCGCGGCGGCGCGACCATAAACACGCTGAGGTCGCTCGCTCGGTGTGAGTCGAACAGCACTGTCAGAGACGAACTAGACCGACAGGCACACCCAGACGACGACTGGTGGGGATACTTTTTAGTCAGCGGCCGCGGGCGAGCGCGCCGGCGGCGAGTCAGGTCAAAGCGGGTTACGCAGCGACGAACTAAGCGAAGGCAGCGGGGGCAGGCCACGTCTAAACTGGTGGGGATACTTTTTTGGTTCGCGGCTCCAAGGCGAGAGACATGGAGCGAGCACAACGTCCGGGGCGCGGTACGTAGATAATTGGCGCGAGATTGCCGCGGATTCCAGCGGACACACGCAGCGGCACATGCACATGGCAGGGACAAAATGCCCCTCATTGAGACGCATTCTGGTGGGGATGTTTTTTGTTCGGCGGCTCGAAGGACAGATCCAGCGAGCGGGACTAACGTTCTGGGGCACAGAGCGAGATAATTGGCTGCAGTGGCACGTAGGCCGCTGTAGCAAGTGCACGGCAAAAGACGAAGCCAGAAGATTACCTTGCAAAAACACTGAACGGATGCCAGCAGAAGAGAAGCTGCCACAGGTGGGCAACCAACGAACACAAGCCAGACCCGCAGGTGGGGAACCTGACCGGTGGCCGAATCTGGTGGGGATACGCGATGCGGCTAGAATATGCTTGGGTGCTGCCGACGTAAAGACGATGACGGTCGAGTAAGCCCGATCAAATTGCCGGTGGGACGGATTGGCCCATACTAGACCCAACGTTAACCTAGGTTCAAAGGAATTGGATCCGCATCGGTGTGGCCGCCGGATTGGGCTTGTCAACGGCCACGGATAAGCCAGTGCCGATGCTGAATCTGACCTCCCAGGAGTTGCATCGCCCGAGGAGGAAGGATGGCTGCGGCGCCGATCTTTTCAACGCCCTCCGCCACCCGTCACCTGTCCTCTGCTGCTGCTCGGCATCCACGGCCCCGAACAGGGCGGTGGATGTGCCCTGCAACCAACGCAGCTGAATGCTCTGCCTGCGGCGGTCAGGCGACGGCTGCGTGCGCCCGATTTGAGAGAGCTCGTACTCCGAAGGGACGTGCCGCATAAGGTGCGTGTGCCTGCTCGGTCTGGTGCTGCTCCGTGTCTATACGAAGAAGGCTGTGTGGGCAGCGGGCATTCGACATGCAGAGCCTGTCTGACGCGCCTCTCTCACACTGAGCGGCAGGACGATGTGCCATAGATGCGCCAATCATAGCCATGCCGAGAAGCACACCAGAGCTCGTTTGCACAATAATTAGGTGGCATGATCAAGCCATGAACTGTGTGGCCCTCCATTACAACACCGTTCATGCTACACCAACATGTGTTCCACAACTCTTCAACGCAACAATGCACAATGCCCTGGAATCAAGCTGCCCCGCCATCAGTGAGAGGGTGACACGGGTCTATTGGCAGGAACCAGTCCAAGCCCACCTTGCCGAGCACCTTGGCACATCAGAAGGCGTTGATGCAAACCACTATGCAACGAGGACATCCCATTTGCCAACTCACATCCGCCGGCGTGCCACTGGGCACGGAATGGGCGTGTCCTCAGGTCCTTTGCCTTACCCCTTAAGCCTCAACCCTCGATCCCGAGGATTCTTTTTGGGACCCGGACCCGTCTTCACGCACAACTTTTTCGGGACCACGCGGGCTCCAACTCGGTCCAAGAGGGGCTCAAGAGGCCCCGCAGACGGTCCAAGTGCCCTGAATCGCCGACGGATCGGTCCAAGACCCCCAAGATGGCCTCATAATGGCTCAAGAAGCTTCCAATACGCTCCTGGAGTGCCCACAGAAGCGCTCCAAGAGAGCCCCCAGAGGCCAACGTCATTGACTTCCCGAAAGACATTTGAAGGTTTTGGGGTTATCGCCTTCTCGGCTTCCCGACGCTACAAGACGGCCCAAGACGCCCCCAGGATCGCCCCAAGGCTGCCCAAGAGGCCTCCAAGAGGACCCCCAAACTGCCCAAGAGGGCCCCAGGGAGGCCCAAGAGGCGCCCAAGATGGCCCAAGAGACCCCAAAGACGGCTCCAAGAGGGGGCCCAGACGGGGGACCCGAACGGGCATTTCGAGCCCTCCCAAGAGGCCCCCAAGAGGCTCCCAATAGGCCCCCATAGGCCCTCAAGAGGCTCCAAAAACTGCTCCCAAGAGGCCCCCGACAGCGCTCCGAAGAGACCCCAAGAAGCATCCCTGAGAACTCTGACCCACAACACAAGCACGGTGGCGGGATGGGCCGAACGCCATTCGATGACACGCATGCGGTGATCACCATGAGACGCCTGCTCAACCTGAGCCCTCCTCCTCCTCAGGCCCGTCAGCTCGAGGGGGATCGAGCTGCGTCGCTGATCAACGTCAGAGGAAAAAGTCGCGGTCGTCGAGATCGTGCCACAGCGAAGCCCCTTCCGCTTCATCCCGTCCCCCTTCCCCGCCAAGGGGACGTCTGGGGGATGTTGCATGGCACGGCAAATGTCAGGCCCCGGGGAGCGGTCCCGGGGGGATTCTGGGAGGGGGTCACCAGGGTGCAGGGTGAGGGGTGAGGGGGGGGGGTCCTCCCCTGCCCCCCGCCCTTTTGTGGGCCCCGGAAGCGGCAAGGCCGTTTCTTCACCGTTTCCCAAAAAGTGTCCCTTGAAAATGGAAACGGCAAAAAAACGGCGACCGGAAACGGCCAAAAAACGGCTCCAGGATCGGAACCGGAGCCGGAACCGGTCACGAAACGGCGACGGAACCGGTTAAAAAAAACGGCGTCGGAACCGGCACAAAAACGGCAAAACGAAACCGGTAAAAAAACGGCCCTGTCGTTTCCGGGGCCCACTAAGCCCCCCCTGCTCCCCCTTCGACGAGGGGATCGACCATTACAGAAGCGATGTGCCCCAAAGTGGATGCCCCGTCGAATCCACGAGACACTCCTGCAGCGGGGGCAGAGTGAGGGGTGAGGGGGGGGTGCCCTCCCCTGCCACCCCCCCCCCTTCGACGAGGTAGTCGACCACTACAGAATCGAGGTGCTCCACAAAATTGATGCCCCGTCGAAGCTACGAGGCACTCCTGCAGCGCTCTCCGCAGATCTGCGGGCTATATGCTTCGTTTTTCTGCTCTTGTTGCTGCTCTGTCTTTTCTTGCCTCCTGGGTTCGACGAGGAATCCATTTTTTGTTTAAGTAATGGGCCACTTCCCCCAACCTTGCTGAGTTAGGCACCGACCACACTCTTCTGCAAGCTCGGTGCCGTCTCGCCTGCATTCGAAGTCGGGCTTCAAATTGCTGGTGCGGTGTGCCAGGCAAGCCATATCTGACTGGGGTGTGCATACCGAGAAACGCACCACAGAGCATCGAACTTAAAACGCACCGAGGTTCGACGAAGAGTCCATTTTTGGGGCGAGTCAACTCCGCAATCGATCCCCTCCTCGACCCCTGCCCCCCTCCGCCTTCGAGTGACTCGGGCGAGATCCTGGGGCGTCTTCGGAAGTGTGCCTGGGGCCGCCGCTCGCCGAGGGCAGCCTCGGGGCCGACCTCGGCGAACTTCTGGGGCGCCATCGCGGGGGGGGGTCTCTCGGGCGGGCTTCGAGGCCCTTTGGGGGTCCGCCGAACGAGCCAAGGTCAGGTCGGGCATGCCCTCCTGAAGGCGGATTTGGAACGCGTGTGCAATGCGCGCGTGCTTGCGTGAAGTCATGCTTCGCAGGTGCTTGTCGCAATTGCACTCGTGGACAGCGAAGTGCGCAGGACAAGGCTGTTCGGCAGTTCGGCCCAAGTCGCCAGCCCCACAAAGCTTGTGATCGGTGGCACAGCGAACTGCGTTCGATAAGCAAGCGGATATGTTTATGCTCAATGTTGTCGGCAGCTAGGACTACCAACTGGCATGGGCGAGAGAAAGGGAGAGAGGAAGAGTCAGTCGAGCCATACGCCGGAGCGCGTGGGCAAAAGGCGAGACAATGCGCCTGTTCTCTCCGCTTTGCGGGAGCGGCGGCGTGCCAACACAATTATCAATTCACATCGTTTGCTTCTGGCCGGGGAGGGGGGCGAGGAAGAGAGGGAGAGGGAGGCGGAGGAAGGGCAGGAGGAGGGAGGGAGACGAAATCAAATACAAACTTGTGCCAAGCGATTGGCTCGCTAACGCATTGCATTACAGCGTCCTCAGTGGAAAAATGCGGCACGATAGCGTCATGTAAACGCTTCGCCCATTCATGTCTTGGCCTGCCTACAGCTCTGGCGCATGCGTCGGTGGCTGGTCGGACACAGCTAGGTTGAAAAGTAAGGCGGCGCAAAAAGTCAGAGTTTGGTGCCCTACCTATTTTTCCAAACCATAAAAGTTGATGCTTCAAAAGCTGTGTCGTATAAGATTGCTGGCCGGCTCTCGACAGCACATTTTGATTAGAAATTCGTGATATGTACGCGTGGGGCATGTGCAATATGCGACGCAAGCACTTCGCTTGAAAGCCATCTAACATTCTACGCTCGGCTTTGTTAAGCCATGCCGAATTCAATGAGTACATGACCTTACTGGTCACAAGGGCCTGAAAAACTTGGATCTTCCTAGCTGTGCTAATGGCTGTGTGCTTCCAGGCACGGCTGTGTCGACAAAACTCGCCCCAAGCAGCGCCTAATCTCTTTCCCAATTCTCCGCGAAGCTGGCCAGTGGTCGAAAGCGTAGCTCCCAAATATGTCATAGAATCTTTAGCCATAATTGGTGTCCCAGACGGCGTCAGGAGGTTGATCTCGCAGCGGACCGGCATAAGCTGGAATTTATCCCAATGCAATTCCATACCAAGTCTTGCCCCGGCATTCGCAATTTCTTCCAATAGTGCTTGCAATTGGATTTGATTGCGCCCCACCAGCAAGGTGTCGTCAGCATATAACAAAATAGCCAGCGATTCTTCTTCTAGGGCTTGTCGTACTCCAGCCTCTGCGTGGCAGAACACGCGGAGGCACCCCAAATTTTCGTAAACCTTCCAGCAGAGCCCCAACGTTAAGTGAATCGAAGGCTTTCTTCCAGTCCAGTGCCACAAAAGCTGTGCCCCCATCTTTGTCAGCGTACGCTAATTCAACGTATCGGCGAACAGCGTGTATAGCATCTGATGTCCCACGCCCCCTTCTGAAACCGAATTGCGTGGTGGATAGTCGGTCTTCTGCTCCAGCATCTTGCAATCGCCGTAATATGAGACTTGCAATAAGCTTGTACGCAACGCAAAGCAGGCTAATGGGACGGTAGTTGTCGCAGTTGTCGACGGCGCCTTTGTTTTTGTAAATCGTAGAAATTACAGATTCCTTCCAATCTTCAGGAACCGCCTCCTCGTTCCAGCATTTGTTGCATAGACCGGTTATCCACTCAAGCCCACCAGGGTCCGTAGCGATTGCTTTCCAATGCTCTGCTGGGATATCATCCATTCCAGAGGCTTTTCCCCGCTTCAGCTTACGTATGGTTTTGCCCACTTCGTCCGTCGTAAAATCTGTTTCCAAAACTGGCAGTGGGTCAGCTGTTGGATCGTCGTCAAGCAGCTCCGCAGGCCGTATCTTCCACTGCGCTTTCTCCAAGTATTCTGCCATAGTTTCAGCTCTTTGCGCATTGTCCACCAAATCCCCACTCATATTTCTTAGCCTTCCTTTGGCGGTGCGGCTTGGGCCGGCAATGTCTTTTGAGAGCGTCCCAACTACCATTTGAGATATCTTTATCGATCCATATTGTCTTATCTTGCTTGCATGACTTACGTACTTCCTTCAACAATCGTTTCTCTTCCACTTTGTTATTCATTGCCCGTGCCTCGCTGCGACGATTTATAAGGTCAAGTGTGGCTTGTGTAATCCATGGCTTGTTAACCTCCTTGTGGCGATGCGGGAGCGTATTAGCTGCCAGTTGCACTGCTCTTCTACCTCTCCCCCACATGTCTGGTAAATCGATCGGCGGGTCCATGTATGAAGTGACGCTTTCCATGAATGTATCCACATACGTTTGTAATACTCCAGGATCTTCCATTGCATGTTTGTTTGGTCTTCTCGTCGTAGACGTTGTCTGTACTTCGTGTGGTATCGACATCTCCGCGATCACCAGATAGTGGTCAGTAGCCAGAGCTGCTTCCCGGTGGCTTCGTAATGACGTGATTTGTTGTCGAACCGAAGCTTCGCAGAGTACCAGGTCCAATATGTTATATTTATCTTCAGATATATCCCCCATTGGTAAAGCTCCCGCTTCCATGAAAGTAACTTTATTTTGCAGCGTCTGCTGGTAGAACGTGTTGGCAACTTGTATATCCACACTGGTGCAGAATTCAATCATCAATTCCCGATTGGGCTGTTCAACTTCGTGTTGTGCTCGCCGTCCCCATCCAAACTCTCCCAAGATGGCATCTTCCCCAGGCTGCGCCTTGCCCATTCTGGCATTGAAGTCGCCGATGATCAGCTTGCCCACGTTGGAGTTGCAAGACCGGTACGTGGAGTCCAGCATCGTGTAGAAATGTCGCCTTTCGGGGAGCGGCTTGAGGTTGTGCGGGGCGTACCCGGTAATGATAGTCATCGTCCCCATGCTAGTTTTCATTTTCAGCCACGCAAGTCTATCGGAAACTTGTTTGTAGGATTGGACTTTACTTCGACATGCAGGTGCAATGACAAACCCAACCCCTGTCCAAGTTTGCCCTTGTGCATCTTCGCCAGAAAGAATAATTTTGTGCCCATTCACATCGTAGATGTCCGCCTTTGGTCGGCGAGTCTCTTGTACAGCTAAAACGTCAATGCCGTATGTATCCATGTGTAGAATCATCTCCTCGATCTTCGTCTCGGTAAGGCCTCGAACGTTACATGACGCCACTGTGATGGGAATCGATGCGGGGGTGGGAAGGGGAGGGGCGGGCGGGGGCGGGGGCGAAGGAAGGGCGGACGGGGGCGGGCGGTAGAAGTTTGGGAGCCTGGTGGTATCTTTGCCCACTTTGGCCGAAAATGCGGTACAACTCGTAGGTGAAGATGCGGTGGACCCGGCAACAGGTTCGGGCAGTGCTTCGTTTTGAGCGTCTGGCAGCCCCCGTAGTTGATCGGCATCTTTGTCCGAGTCACTGTCCACATGGAGCTCCACGTATCCCAAACGTAGGTTTGAAAATATATGTCTTTGATTCTGAGAAGTATTCGAGGACACTTCGCATGAAGAGGAAATTTGATCGGCTCCGGCGCTGGTCGCAAAAGAACTTCGACGGGTAGGGTAGCCCAGCGCCTGCCGTACTTCCTATTTCCCATTGTTTCCTTTCGATGTTCCTTCGACGCCTCCTTTCATCCCCATCGATGCCCTCTGCAAAATAGTATCGCATTTTTGCAATAACTCCTTAAGTTGTTGGTTATTTTGCAGTTCGTTCCATTCTGCCCACTCCTTCTCCCAGATGCGCTCGTTCGTGTTGCCATCGACGTTCACTGTCAGAGCGAGATGCCCGCCCACATGTACCTGATATGGGGCGTTGTCTGAGACATGTATCGCATATGTGTTTTGCATGTCTTGCTTCAGGATGTATTTTAAACCAAAACAGAAATTGCGAGCTGCCCGTTCTCCAGGTTCTCGGTCTGGTGCACACCATATCGTATTGGATCCACGTTGAAGTTTTGCGCTACGTAGCTGTGCGACTGCCGTGTCCCTGTCAAGCATCGTCGTAAATTCCGCGAAGATGATGTTCTTGAACTCACCTTTCGAATACATGTTTGTAGAAATCGGCCCGGATAACTTGTTGAGTTCGTCCCGTATGTATGCGGATGCGGCCTCGAGCGAGTCGAAATTGTCCAAGTTACCAATTACTGCCGTGATTGCGCGCTTCCCGTGGTAGTGGTACTCGTTCGCCGTCTTCTGCGAGAAATTCGATGCTGACCTCGGTGTAGTATGTCCCATCTCTTTGGTAATACTGTCAATTTGTTCTTTCACTTGTTCTTTCAATGTGTGTTCCAAGTTTGTCATGCGTATTTGAACATCTTCGAAATCACCTTCCATATCTTCAATATTCGATTCCAAGTTTGTGATTCGTATGTCCACATGTTTGACTGTTTCCTTCAACTCTTTCACTTCGTATCCGACACTGCGAACAACACGCATAGTAGGGGCCAAATGTTTTTTGAACATTTTCCGGATTGACTTCATGGTCACGGGTTCCTCGTCCTCTTCGTCATCATCGAGGTCATCCTCGCCCGGTAGTTCTGCGGGTGCTCTCGGTTCTGCACTGCTTGCGGCTCTTTCGGAAAATTCCAATTGACGTGGTACTCCAGCGCGTTTTGGTACAGATGCTCCAGGCAGGGCGTCTTCCATGCCATCCAGTTCGTGAAGAGGACTACGTTGGCGAGATTCCACTCGGCGTCCTCGCACTCCTTCGGGCGTCGCAAGAACATGTTTTTCTGGCATGCTTGGAAATTCCCGGACACGGGTCTTGGAAGGTTTCCCGGACACGGGTCTTCGAAAGAATCCCGGACACGGGTCTTGGAAAGAGTCCCGGACACGGGTCTTGAATGGGCTCTTGAATGAGCTCTTGACATGGGCGAGAGAAAGGGAGAGAGGAAGAGGGTGAGAAAATAATGACAGAGAAAAAGAGACACGGATGAAGATAAAGAGAAAGAGGGAGAGAGAGCAGGAGGCAATCGACGGCGACTCCCCCTTTGATCTGGAGGTTTTTCACACTCTGGGGGGGGGAGGCGGACAGACCAAAGGGGACCGGAGGAACTCATACCCAGACCTCACATACTTTGCGACGGTATGCAGGCAATGGGATGGCGGCAATGAGCGGGACCAGCTCAGGGGGGGAAAGCATCGAGCTGTAATTGGCGGCGCTTCATTGGGGGCCGCGGGGGGACCAAACACGAGCGCGCAAGACGCCAACGCCGCATCGCGTCCGGCGATCAGGGGGCCCCACGGGGCCCGCACGAAGGTCACTCTGGCGCAAGGTCACTCTTACGTGCAGTCGAGTTAAACTAAGGAGGCCCTGGGACACACAAATGAATAAACACAAATGACAGGATTCCCAATGCTTTCCCGTATTTTCTGGGTTTTCGTCTTCCCCCTCACTTCCCATATTTTCCCATACTTTCTGGGGAATCGACGATTCATGGTGTCTGCGTGTTTTTCCACCTCTCTTTCCCGGGCTTTGCCCCCTCCTGGCCTTGACGTGAGGCCTCTCCTTCTGCCTTCCCCCCTCTGTCAATTCAAGCTGTGCGCGGCCCGCTTAGCTTGGACCGGCAGAGGTGCGCCCTCGACCCGCGGATCCAAAAAGCGTCTTTCCCCTTCCTGACTCACGTGTAGCCGAGTCCTACGCTGACCCTGGCCACCCCCTTGCCTTCAACCCGGCACGACCTTCCCTGCGAGGACCCCGCGCTTGCCTCGGACGCGGGCCCCGGACCTCCCGCGCTCCCGACGTCCCCAAGAGGGCCCCGCCCCTCTGCGGGGCCTGCCTTGGCGTCTCTCTCTCTGCCCCCACGCGGCACGAGCGCGCACTCCGGGGGCTCCCATGTCGGAGGCGCGCCACCCTGCATTGGCGACCTCCCCCAACTGCGGCCGGCGCCGCCTCGCTCGGCGGCGGGGATCCGCGACTTCCAGTGGAAGCGGAGACCCGTCGCGAACCCACGCCCCCCTCGACGTGTCAGGGTAGGGATCCACTCGGGGCGACCAGCGCGAGTCGCAGAGACTCCCCTGCGCTCGGCTTGAAGGAGCTGCCCGGCACCGGCGTGTTCTGCCAGGCGTTTCGCCCGCTCTCAGCCGCCCGTGCATTTCTGCCCCCGCGCCTCCCGGCGCCGGGAGGCGCTCCACGTATGGAGGGATAGGTCCAGCGACGGGGTCGCCACCTGCTGCGCGCCACAGATTTCGTGACCCCCCCCGAGAGAAGAGGAGGACGGGGGACGAGGAGGAGCGAGACGCCCAGACGGCGAGGGGAAGCCCGATCGCGGAGGACGGGGGGCGCGGAGGAGCGAGAAGCCCAGGCCGCGAGGCGAGCCCGAACGACTCCGCGCCCGCGCGTGGGCCCTCGGAGCCCCCCCGGGGGGCCGACGTCCGCGCGAGGGCGACCGCTGTTTCTTGTTCTCGTTCCTGCGATTTTTCCGCGACGCTGGGGGGGGGGAGCTCGGAGGCCGCCAAAGCCACGAGGCAGGCGAGCCCACCTCGTTTCTGACCGACGGGAGCCAGGCCATACCAGGCTGCCCGTGGAGTGGCCTGCAACGGCCAGGCTGCTCGATGAGGCGGCGAGTGGCATGGCCTGTTTCTGCTTGGGAGCGAACGCGGGGTACAGGAGGGGCTCGACCACAAGACACCCTCCACAAGAAACCCGACCCTGCGACCCCAGGCCGTCCATGGCCTTTTGGTGTGGGAGCGCCCCGCTTTCCATAGCAACACCCTCGAAACCAAAGAAACCCAGGGCGCCCTGGAGGCAAGCAGGGCGCTTCGTGTCCCCACTGTGGGGAACCCGCTCTCCGAGGAGCGGGAGCGGCGCGAGGGCGCCGCGGCACCTGCTCGAGGTTGGCAATGATGCTGCCCTGCTCGTACGGGTTGGCGGAGCCGTCGTAGTTGGACTCGATCGTGGTCACCTCGGCTCGGGTCGGCCCTCCCCGCCCCTCCTTCTCTCTCATCCCGCCCCCTCGCCGCGCCTCCGCTCTCCTCTCCTCCCTTCCCCTCCCCCGCTCCCACGACCCCACGCACCCCCTCCATCCCGCCCCACCCCTCCAGCGCAGCCTCCCTTCCCCTTGTCGCCACTCGCCCCTTCCTGGCCCCCCCTGCCCCAGGCTCCCGCCCCCATTCCCCCGCCTCCCCAATCCCCCCTCCTCCCCCCCCCCCCAGTTCCCGCAAGCCACTGTACCTGCCACCCCTTTCTTCTTCCTCGAGGGAATGCGGTGGGCTCCCCTCGAATCGCCTCCTGGTGGGTTTGCTTTCCACTGCCACCACCCTGAGTAGGAGGGGAAAGGGGTCCGCCTCCCTCTCTTCTTCTTCCTCCTCCTCCTCCTCCTCCTCCTCCTCCTCCTCCTCCGCCTCCTCCTCGTCTTCATCCTCCACCTCCTTCCCCCTCCAACTCATGGTGGTGGTGGTGATGGTGGAAAACAAGCCCATCACCTCCCCCAGCCATGCCCCCTTCTTCCTGCGTCCGCTCTGCGGCCCAGCCAGGCGAGGAGCAGCGCGCGGCGGTCCTCGCGCTCCCACGCCGCCGGCGAGACCCAGACCGCCAGCGAAGCGCGCGGGATGAAGACCAAGACGATCACAAGACACGTTTTTGCCACGATAATCTTGACCAGCCGCCTTCATCGTGGCCGGCAGGTTCACCAGCCATTTGGGCGGCTGGCGGCGACGGCGGCGGGCGCGCTGAGACATATTCGAAGGCGAGGGAGGACGACGAGGAGGTATGAGGAATAACAAGTCATACATTGATGTAAGTGGCACGTGTCGGAGGAAGAGGAGGAGGAGTAGGAGTAGGAGGAGGAGGAGGAGGAGGAGAAGGACGAGAAGTGGGAGGACGACCAAAAAGGACAAGAGGAGTAAGAGGAGGAGGAGGAGGAGGAGGAGGAGGAGGAGGAGGAGGAGGAGTAGGAGGAAGAGGAGGAAAAAGAGGCGGACGACAATAATCTTGTAGGATGATGCGGGGTGGGTGAGAGTAGGCGGTCGGATATAAAAGGAACAACAGGAGTAGTCTGAGGAGGATGAGGAGGAGGAGGAGGAGGAGGAGGAGGAAGATGAGGAGGAAAAGGAGGAGGAGGCACACCGCCATCAAAGAGGAGTTCGTTATCTGACCACCCGCGCCCTTACTGCTGCAGGGACGCCTACACATAATCAACAGCCCTGCCCGCCACCTCAACGAGCGACAGCGCCTGCTCCGCTGGTGAACTCCGCTCCCCTCTGCTGCCTCTCGATGCGTGGAGGAGGCGATGGAGCTGGAATACCAGGGCGACCACACGCGTCGGAAAAAAGGCGACGGGTGAGAGAAAGCAAGGGTCTCGAGGCGAGACACGGGAAGGGAGCAGAGGACATGCGATCGATGAGACAGCGAAGCCGTGGGCAAACGAACTATTGTTTGGTGGCTGTATCGGTCGAGACATCCAAGCGCGCATCCACGGTCGGGGTTCTGGAGACGAGCGTCCGTGACCCAGCCTCCGAACCAAGCCTCGACGCATGCAGCACTCCAAGACGGTGGACGCTGACAGAGGGCGGACCGCACCGAGGCCCAGTCGATCACCGAGACTTCCTCCTGGACCCACTGAGAACCACCCAGGGGTCCTTCTGTTTATGAGTTCGGAAACGACTGGATCTGACTCCGCGGGCCATGAGGGCGTGAAGAACCCGACCCTGCAAGCGCCTCCTCGCCCTCCGCCTCCATGCCACCCCGCGCGCGCCGCCGCGTGCCCGAAACGAGGCGGGCGTCGGGGGCCTCGCGCAGCTCGCCGAGCTCTTCGCGCCCGCGGACCCCATCGTGCGGTGGACTGCGGGCGCCTGCCAAAACGTCGGGCACGGCGCGCAGAGAGCGCGAAACCAACCGGGGGTGTCTTGCCCGTGATATCCAGCGAGACCTGCCTGCCGTTGACGTCGACTGAAAGCGAGATCGGGGCCCGCCCGCCAGTGGGGGGCACGGCCGATAGCTCCCGCCAGCGGAGGCCCCTGCCCTGGCCCGCTCGCGTGCACCCACGAATCGCTCGCGCCCTCTGCTCGGCCAGGCTGGGGCTGCCCTCCATGCGCACAGAGGACTTCCTGCCCACCTGCACTTGCCCGCCCGCCCCGCGGCCCCCGCCGCGGGCAGGAGCGCAGAGTCCGAGACCGGGGCCCTGGATGCGATGACGACGGTGGCGCGGTCCACGTCCCGGTTCCACGTGGGCGCAGGCGGCGGCGGGGCGGGCTTTGGCCTCCCCCCGCGATACCGTCTCGAGACCGAGTTCGGGCACGTGGCCGACCTCGGTCTCGCGACGCGGCGCCTCGTCGGCGGCCTCGCGCTGCCGAGCTTGAGGTCGTCAGCCGCCTGGCGGAGCTGCGCGCACATGGACTCCCGCTCCCGTGGCCGCTGGCTGACCTCGGCGACTTTAGCATGGGGTGCCGATTGGGCCTGGCCCATCCAGTTGGAGAGGATCTCTCCCAGCGCGGCGCCCTAGCGATCGAGTGCCAACTGGAGGTCGTTGCGCACAGTGGCCACCAACGCCTCGGGGGAGCCCGCGCCCGCGTGGTCGGGCGTGGCTGGGGCTGCTCGTCCGCTCTGCGTCGCAGACGTCGGCCCCGCGATGCGCGAGGCTGCGTCGAGGGCGGCGGCAGTGGCCCAGGGATCGAGGGTGGCCGCGGCAGGCAGTGGGGGGGGGCGCCTCCATGAGAAAGAAGACGAACGTCACCAGGAGCACCCCCACGAACTTCTCGAGATGCGAACGTCGGCATGGCTTCGAAGCTCCTGTCCGCTGGCGGCGGCCTGGTGGCGAGGGCTGACCTGGCAGCCCCTGTCCTCTCCAGGGAGCTCCACCTCCTCCGCGGGGTTCTCCCAAGCGCGGTCGCAGACAACAAAGCCCATCTGTCGACTGGATGCGATGACCGACTCCACCGTTTACCCACGCCGCCCAGCGCAGGTATCCACGCGGGCTCGCGACCGCCTGGCGGCTCGCCGCGGGGATCGAAGAGAAACGAATCCAGGGGGTCTGGCCGCGGACCAGCGGCATCCGTTTGTCCCACTGTGGAACTCATCGACTTGAGCCACAGCTGCTACGGAGGAGGAGGCGGAGGCGGAGGAGGAGGAGGAGGCGGAGGACGAGTAGGACGAGGAGGAGGAGGAGGAGGAGGACGAGGAGGAGGAGGAGGAGGAGGTGGATGAGAGGGAGGAGGAGGAGGAGGAGGAGGAGGAGGAGGAGGAGGAGGAGGAAGGCAGCGATGAAAGAAGTGTCAGGGTCACTGACACCCCCCAGCGGGAGCATGAGAAGCCAGGCAGGTGGGACATGGCCACCCGTGCCCAGCTCTTATGTGCCGAGGCTCGGCCACCAACTCAGCTGAAAAGAAGTGGGCTGAGAGTGGCGAGGCACAGCACACGCATCAATCGGACGACAAGGGTGCGCCCGATCGGGGATGCAGGCCCCTGAGGACCCTAGAAATATTGCTCTCCTCGTTGGCCCGCGTTGAGGCCACGGGTGAGTGGCCTCTACAGGCCTTTGCCGTGAGTTCCGGATTGCGACCACCGTTAATCGAAAAGGCCCCGCATGCTAAACAAATAATGGCGGGGCCGAATCGTTCGGCGGGATGTCCGAGAGAAGTGCACACCTCCACCACCCCGTCAGCATCAGCAGCGGCAGGCAGCACACCTCCTTCCTCCTCATGGAACTGGCCTCCTGCGGCCTCGACCGCCACCTGCACCGACGGTGTCGAGTCAGACACGTAGTGCTGGGGGGTCAAACGGAAGAAGCGCTCCGCCGTGGCCCGCTGAAGGGCCGAGGGGGCGCAAACCGAGTTTCGCAGAAAACGATAGGACAGGGTGGTGCGCGCGAACCGATTGCACGTCAAACACCTGTATTCAGAGATGGCTTGACAGAACATCAACGCGTGAGATGTGACAGCAAGCGAAGGAGCGGGGGGGGCCTTGCGGGGCGCTGGGGCGTCGGCAGCTGGCTGCAGCTGCATCGCCTTCCGCGCGGCTGCCTGGACCATCCAGGCGAAGGCCTCACCGTCCTTACGAGCGACCTGCAATCTGGATTTGTGCACATCAACTAGGACCTGCGCCACAGCATGGGACTGCGAGCCCAACTTAGCAAAATAATCTGCCCATTCGTTTCCGACGAAGTCAAAAACTTCGGCCGCCCCCAGGGGCAGCACGTCGTCCAGGGAACGATGGGCGCTCGTCCAGCGAAAGAGGGGAGGCTCCGACTGTCCAATATCGTGCCTTATCTGCCTCCAAATGAACGCCTGACGAGAAGCACCAGATTCGCACAAAGAAGAGAGCTGCCGACCTGTCTTCACCAAACTTAGATGATCAGAAACAATCTCAGCTGGGCGCGCTGCGATCTGGATGGCTCGCAGGGCGGCATAATGCTCCGCCCTAGGGACGGTCTGAAGCCTGCCAGGAAGCGGGCCGTAGATCGCTCTAACTACACAGCCTGACTCATCAAGTTGGACCACGGCCCAGCCGCAGCGCGTCAGGCCTTCCATCGAATTCGCCAGGCCTGACCCGTCCGTGTACACCTTCGGCCCCCAAGCTCCCCGCCAGTCACCCCACCCCATCGTCGGAAGCGAGTCGGCGACTGGCTCTGGAAAGGGCGGCAAGGGCGGCAGCCCATAATTTAAAAAGAAAGCCTCCTTGCCATTGTCTGTCTGGTAGCTCTTGACCAAGCTGGCACGGTGCTCCAAAACGTCGTCGGGCAAAGCTTCTTCAGGCCTACACTCAAGCATGCCATCGCAACCCCACCACTGGTGGGCCTCGGTGCCGACCTGCTCTTTACACACAAAACACAACGGCGTCGGGCGCAAATTAATCGAATGGAGGCGCTCAGGAGTCCAGACCCCCGCAGCCCACAAGGACCGCAGCGCCCCACGACGGCCCCCATCACGGAGAGCAAGCACTGATTTCCGAAGCGCACGACGCCAAACAGTGTGCCCCTGGTTGTCGGGGAAATGGGCCAGGACCCTCGCAACCTGCCATCTTCGAATTCCCTGCTCCAGAAAAATGCGCACGTCCTGAGGACATACACGGAGCAGGTCGATGGGCCAGCCCTCGTCGCTCACTAAGGTGGTGGGTCCTGACATTGACCAACCTATCCGAAGGAGCGTATACCATACCGAAGAAATAGGACCCCTGGCAAACTTCCACGCTGGATTGTGCTGAATTCTGTCTTTGATCGCGAGCCAAGCTCGAGCAAGACGTGAAGGAACGACCCTGGCTTCCCAGACACAAGTAGCAAACCTCACAACAAGCGGAACCGAAGCATCGAACACAGGGTCGAACCTATCGTCCTTTTGCGTGCATAGATAGGTAGTGAGGCAGGACTTGGGCTTAGCTCCTACCATCCCTCCCGCAAACGTACGCAGCTCGCGGAGAGAAACATCGGACACGCCGCTAACGCCACCTCCGTGGCTGGCTGCTGGGAGGAGCCCCGTTCGCCAAAGGGCCTTGACGGCCTCAGGTTGAGCCTGGCGGAGCCCCCAGACTTTACGCCTCTTGGACTGCAAGACTCGAAGTCGGGCCTTCTCTTGGACCCGCAGAACCTTGACTCCGTGCATCTCGTGCCCTAGATTACGCATGCCGTGCTTGCTGCGAAAACCTAGCTGCGAAATGTGCCGTGCGAATGTGTCACGGGCGGCACAAGTGTTGGCCACAAACCCACTCTTATTCGCCTGCACACGCAATCCGAGGGGGGCAATATCATGGCAGAAAGACTGAACCGCCTGCGCAAGCACATGTGAGCTCTCTCCTGGATCTTTGCCTTGGCGGCGTTTGCCCACCCAGTTAAAACTCACGTCGTCCATCAGGTCCCTGGGTTCCACAGATGGGAATCGCTCCACCGACAGGTTCAAACTTCTATACAGAAGCACCGTGAGCAGAGTGGTGGCTAGAGAACACCCAGCTAAGATCCCTTGGGCCGTGGAAACCGAGTACGACAAACTACCGAAGGCTCTAAGGGCTCTAGGCTGGGTGTAGTTCTGGATGGCCATCCAGGCCAGACGGAGCGGGAACCCTGTGGCCTTGGCCTCCCTCAAGAGGGCCTGGAGGTCTACACATTCATAACATTTCACCATGTCTATGAAAACAGTAACACAATCCTCTCGCAATTCGTGCGCAATCTCCGAAGCTAAATTTAAAGAGAAGGCGCTGTCACTGGACGATCGCCCTGGACCTGTCCCCCACACCGTGGGATGCGCGTGGTCACGCTCCCAGGCGACCGCTGTTGGACGGCGGAATACGCACAAGCTGAGTGAGTATGCGAGACGACGGCCAAATCAGAAGCTTTTCACATCGCATGAACAAGCGCGCCAGCGACTCCAGGCCGGCGTCCGAAACGAACCAGAACGCGCGGGGCGCGAACTCGAAGTGCCCGATGCCCGTGGTCCAGGGGAACTGCAGGATCGCGCGCTTGATATCGTCCAGGGATATATGTGGTAGGTCGTCCCACTGATCAGATGCGTGAGGTACTGGCTCAGGAAGATCATGCATGTGCCATATGGCGTCCCACTCTCGCATAGCTCTGTCCGCCATCTTGAATGGCTGCGCCTCCGAACCAGGGAGCAGGCAGGCAGCACAAACTTCCTGAAGAGCACGGCCTCGAGTGTGACGGTGTGCGAAACGACCTCCACCTTTGAACGACGAAGCCGCCCACTCTCGCCAACACGCCAAGGCTGTGTCATTCTGGCGCTTCTGGCACTCGTCCGCTCGACCGATGATGCTCTCAATCATGTCATTCGTACGACCACTGGTGACGAAACCGATGTCCATGTCGAAGAAGTTCCGAGCATCATCATCCAAGGCGTCGCGTAAAGGATCGTTGCGAATCCTTGTCATGAACTTGGTGATGTCCACTAGCATACGAGCAAACTTGTCGAAAGCCTTGCTGGACATCGCACCCGCCCGCTCCTGATGGCATAGCAGCACAGCCTGATTGACAAGGCTCCCTTTGTAGCGGCGTAAATGGCGGGCCCAACGGCCTGCTGCTCTCCAAGCTCTGTCTCGTGTTGACTGCTCACCTCTGCGCCTAGGCGGCTCCCACCGCAACTTAGCATACTGCATTCGGGTGTCTCCGCCTCTGCCTCGGTAAGCCTCAGTGTGAGAACCGACAATATCATATCTGGCCAGCAACTCAATCTCCAACTGTGCCAAGACTGCGTCCCATGCTGCACCCAATGTGGGATTATCAATCGCTTGATCAATAATACGATTGACCTGGCACCAGTTCAAAGGGTATCTAGAGCACCCAGGCTTCGGCTGTCTCGAAGGGCGCTTCGGGCTGACCAACGTGCGAGTCTTCAAAACAACATCCTTCCCCATGATAGGTAATACAACTGGCAGGTGTGGGAATGTGTCTCCATTTTCCTGCACATACGGGCGGCACGTTCTGGGGAGCAGATTGGTGGTCATCAGGAAATAGTCTATCGTCCTGCCTGGCAACGACTGCCTGCACGTCGAAACTGATGGGCGCGTCACCACACCTCCCAATCCATACAACCATTCCATGTCTCCGAACTCGGCCTGCTCCATGTTGAAGTCTCCCGCGACGATCCAATCAAGACCCATCGCGTTGACAACTTCAATGTATTCAGGAGGAGGAGGAGGAAGAGGAAGAGGAGGAGGAGGAGGAGGCGGAGGACGAGGAGGAGGCGGAGGACGAGGAGGACGAGGAGGAGGAGGCAGGAGGCAGGAGGCGGGATCTAGGAGTAAGGGCAAGAGGGGGGGAGGCGGGAGGCAGGCGGGGGGCCGCAGGAGGGGGCCGCGGCCGAGCGGCGCGCATTGTGGTTGGCGAGGGGCACGTGGCCGCTCATCATCACGTACAGCAGCACCTCTGTCCGCCGAGGCTGGGCGGGGGGGGGACGACGCAGACAGCCAACGCCATCACAGACAGCGATGTGGATGGTTGAAAAGGGGCCCAGGGACACACGAGCAGATACACACAAAGAGAAGGATCCCCCAGATTTTCACACATGCTCCAGGTGTTGGCCTTCCCCCCACTTCCCTACTTTTCCATATTTTCTGGGGAATCGACGATGAATTGTGCCTGTGTTTTTTTCCCCTCCTGCGGCGCGGCCAATGAGAGTGGCCGAGGACGAGCCGAGGAGGCAAGGACGCAAGGGCACCCTTGGGAAGACTGGCCGTCCTCACTATTCGGGTTGACTGTGCTCGTGGTTTGCTCGGGGGCTCTGCGAACAGAAACACAAAGTAGACAACAGAAGAGTCCCACGAAAAGCGCGGGGAGCCCTGCACCGCCCGGTATGTCAACCGCTTCCCTTGAGATTTCCTCACACTTGCTTCTCGTGCTCTCGCCTGACTGCCGGCTACATGTTTGGCCAAGGGAAGCGAAGAGTGATACAGACATCAAAACTCGGAGGTCCGCGCGGATTTCTCGGATCCGCGCTGGACCTCCCTGGCGGCCCCTCCGGCGCCGCCCCCTGGCGCGCTCCGCTCGCCAGGGAGGGGGGTCCAGCGCGGATCCCAGAAATCCGCGCGGACCTCTGAGTTTTTATGTTTATGTCCTTCTTCGTTCCCCTATGGGTCTGTACGGCCAAGACCCCTTGCCCCAAGTCAAAGTACACAACCGAGCACATGGCAATGCTCTCACCCCTCTCCCGGCCGCATCTTCTCTGTCAGAGCCGTGCCTCCGGACGCTACCCATCGGAGGCCTGGAAGCTGCCACGAACACAAATATCCAAGACCCCCTCGCGTCGTGAAAAAAACGACGGACGGCTTGCTGCTATCTTCAGCCTCTGGGGGCCATCACCAGGCTGCAGGACCGTGGTCGCAATTTCTGGGGGTCCACGCTGTGACGTCGGAGGTCTGGGATCCGCGGTTCCTGAGGCCTGGGCGTTGCCAAAAACCCCTCCTGCTTTCCCTCTCCCTCCTATACTTCCCTCCTCCCTCCCTCCCTCCCTCCTCCTCCCTCCCTCCCTTCCTCGTCCCTCCTGCCCTCCCTCCCTCCTCCTTCCCTCCCCCCTCCTCCCTCCTGGGATGAGCTCCCTGCCTCCCCCCCCCTCTCCTTCTGCCTCTCCTCCCTCCACCCCCACCCTCCCTCCCCTTCCCCCCCCTCCTCTCTGGGTTCGGGTGCCCGCCCCCGCCCTCCCGTCCCTCCCCCCTCCTCACCCTCCCCCTCCCCCTCCCCCTCCCCCTCCCCCCCTCCCCCCTCCCCCCTCCCCTCCTCCTCCTCCTCCTCCTCCTCCTCCTCCTCCTCCTCCTCCTCCTCCTCCTCCTCCTCCTCCTCCTCCTCCTCCTCCTCCTCCCCCTGCTCCCCCCCCCTCCTCCCTGGGGAGGGGGCGGCCTGGTGTGGCTCCCTCTCGGGCGCCCGGCTCTCCCCCACGAGGCGGCCGCGGCGACCGCGAGGGCGCACGGCGACCGGCGAGAGGGGCGGCCCCCGCGCGCAAGGGGCGCGGGCGCCGAGATGAACACCGCGAGGCAGGAGCCGACCAGGAATGCCAGCACCTCGGCTCGTGCCCTCGTCCTCGTGCCCTCGCCCTCGTCGGCCTCCTCGCCGTCGTCGCCGCCGCCGCCGCCCTCCGCATCCTGGGGGGGCTCAGGCCCTCGTGGCCGTCGCCCTCCGACGCGCGCGCCTCGGCCTGCCAGGTGAACGTGGAAAAGAAGCGGGCCTTGCGCACGATGGCATTGCTATAGAGACCTTGCGCGGTGGCTTGCGCGGGCCGCTGGCGCAGCGCGCTGCATTGGACACGAGGGCGCCCACGTGCCACCTTCTGCGGGCAGCTTGCGCTGCGGGCAGCTTGCGCGCGACTGTCGACACGATCGAGCTCAATACGCAGGCGACCAGGAAGGCCAGCACCTCGGCTCGTGTCCTCGTCGTCCCCTGAGATCCGACGTAGCGAAAAAATGAAACATCGACAAAAATCACGCCCAGAGCCCGAGACCCCATCGTTCTGCGCCATCTTCCGAGCCGGATCGACCTGCAAGGGTCCAGGCCCCCCCCCCAACAAAAGGCAAAAACGCCTGCCTCGAACAAAAATGAGACACCAGGATCTCGGAGTCGTCGCCTCGTCGCCGTCGTCCTCGTCGCCGTCGTCGTCGTCGTCGTCGTCGTTGTCGTCCTCCGACGCCCGGCGCCCCCGCACCAGTTTCTCGCTCGTGCCCGCCGGGGGTGTGGAGGCAGCGGCGCCTCCCGCGCCTCCAGGGTTGCCGGGGCCTCGGACCGCTGCCTCGCTTGGTCAGCAACAAAGAGGACCCCTGCCCCTTTGGGGGGGGGGACCCTCAGTCAGGAGGGCCAGACACATCAGGGACAGGGGGGGACCGTCCCTGTAATTGCAGAGAGCAAACGAAACCGCCCAGGACTGTAATCCCTGATGCACAGACGGGGACCTCAGGGAGGCCACGTCTTCATCGTGTCAGTTAGGAGGGTTGGGCTTCTTGCTTCTCGATGAGTTCGGACCCCCGGACTCCAACCCTCCTCGGCCCGCCAAGTGTAACCTTACCGGCAGGAGCTTCGGCTCACGAAGCCGGAAGACCGGCCCCGGCACACGCTCTCGGAGGTCCGCGCGGACCTCCGAGAAGTTCATGTCTGTGCCGCTCGTTGTCGCCTCGCGCGTCGCAGCGACAGTCGGGTCGGGCGAAAGGGGGGGATAGCAAAGGGGGGGTTTGAGAATCAGCTCACGCAGCTGACTTTCCCGGAGCCTCCCGGCGCCGGGATGCGCCCATGTATCGAGGAATGGGCCCCTGTCCCAAACCCCCCGCTGTCGCCCGACCCGAGACGGGCCCAGCGACCTTACTCGTATGGCGCTCTCAAGCCCGTGCCTTTTCACTACGCGTGTCACCGTTTCGCCCCTGCTGGGGCTCGTCAGGACTCGAATGAAAATGGCGGAGGGAGGAGCAGAGAGGAGGATGAGGAGGAGGAGGAGCAGAGAGGAGGAGGAGGAGGAGGAGGAGGAGGAGGAGGAGGAGGAGGAGGAGGAGAGGAGGAGGAGGGGGGGAGGAGGAGATGCTGTGGCCCGTGAGCCCAGCAGCGTGCCGCTCTGCTCCGCGGGGCGGGAGGCCGGCGGGGGCTCCGCGGGCGCCGACGCCCGGGCAGCGAAGAGAAGGAGGCTGCGGCCAGCGTGCGGCGTCGAGGCGTGGGGGGGCCACGTGCGAACCCTGCCCCTCTCCTCCTCCACTCCTCCTCCTCCTCCTCCTCCTCCTCCTCCTCCTCCTCCTCCTCCTCCTCCTCCTCCTCCTCCCTACCGCCCGCGATTTTTGAGGGGGGCAGGGGCAGGGTTCGCACGTGGCCCACTAGAGGCGTGGTGGGCCAGAGCCGGCGGAGCGGCGCACCGAGCACAGAATCCTGACCGCACTGCGCCTGGGCCACCTCAATCTCGAGTCTCGCGCCGCGGCGCGATGCACGCGAAGCGCGTGCAGCCTCGCGCTCACGCGCGGCCGCCCGAGAAGCGCAACCGTCCAGCCCAGGCCGACGCCGCCCGTGCGAGGCCCGAGCAGATGGGGTCGGAGCTTCGCACAGCATCTCGAAGGCATCGGAGACGTCGGGGTAGGACAGGTCGGGCACCAAGTCGGGCCGCAGAGGCGGTGCGGCGCGATGAGGCCGCCTGCACGGACGGCTGCGCGGGCGGCGTGATCAGCTTCGCGCCCCCTCCGCGAGTGATACAATGCTCTGTCTGGTCATGGAGCGGAACCCGTCGAGCCTTGAGCTACAGGAGAAGCCTCCTCCTTCGTCTCCTCCATCCACCTTGTCGTTCCAAATGGCGGTCTCGCCCCAGAGGGGGCCACACTCCTATGTGTGATGTTCGCCTCGTCGTTGCCGTCCCCATCCTTTCTCCTCCTCCTCCGCTTCCTCCTCCTCTTCCCTCAAGGCCCCCCCCCTCGCAAAGTGTACTCTAGCAGACGATGCGTCACGTACAGTGATGACTGCTGCAACTTGGGGATGGCATGCAAGCTGCTAGGGCAGAGCTTCTGCGCCGCGACCCCGCGGATACGGGGCGTTTTTTCGCGGACGCCCCGCGCGGAACACATCCGTACGACCGCGCGTCCGCTGCATCGCGCCCCAGATTCCCGCGAAGCCCTTCGGGACGGAGTGTCGCCCGTGGCCAGCCAGCGGCCCGGGCACGAACCCCACTCGGCCTGCTGCGTGTCCAGGCCTCGGGGGCCTCGTGGGAGACCACAGGGGGACCACACCGTGTGCAGTGAACGCTTTCTTGTTCGGCGTTTCGACACTGGGCGGAAAAAGGGGGGGGGGGGGAGGGGGGGGGGGGATCTGGCTCCAGACCTCTGCTTAGCGCGACTGCTTGCAGCAGTGCATCCAATGGGGGAGCCTCCACGTGCTTGAAACAGGCGCCGAAAACAGCCAAGATCTACTCCAACCGGGAGGGGGGAGGATGGGGTGCGAGGTCCCGCGCCGATCGGCAAAACAATGAATAAGAAAACCACCACATGCGAGAACGGCGCTCATGCACCGTAGCATGTTGGACTCCCGCCGGGCCTCTCTCCGACGCGGTGCGGCGCCTAGATACGTGGGCGCCCCTGCGGGCCGAGCAGCTACGCACCGTGCCATCCCCCGAATCGAAGACCGACGCCTCGGGAGACGCCAACACGGCACGGTGCAGACAGGCCCTCCGTGGAGTGTAGCGAATCTGTGGGGATTCCGGGATTTCGGGGGCTGTCGCCGATTCCCGGGGGCCTTCCTGCATCGGCATGCATTCCAACAACTGCGCCTCGTCCGGAACATTCTGGGGCTGCCTGGGCCGTACCGAACTGCCGCTGGAGACTCCAGCCATGACCTGGAAGCTAACCATGCAAAGGAGGGCCGACGTGGTAAGTCAGTGCGGATTCCAGCTCTTTGGGACTCCGGTCCTTCTCCGAGGGCGTCTCGGGCGACCGGGGCCTTCACTAGGATCCCGAGATCGTGCGGCGACGGATCGGCGGTGAAGGGTTTCGAGGTCACCCTCTCGGTCTGTCACCGCACGGTCTTGGGACCTCCGTTACGTGGAGATCCCCGAGGGGGGGGGGGTCCTCAGGGGCCCCCCGAAGACCATCCGCGGGGCCAAGGCCACTAAACCAAGACATTGTTCACCACCCAGACCAACTCGCGCCGATTGACCCACGGATGTCTCCTATTTGTTTTGGCGTCCGTCACCGAAGACTCACGGAAGAGCTGCGCGCCCGAACTGATCAGATAGCCTTTCACGACAACAGAAAAAATGTCGGCGGCGAGCGAAGGGGGAAAATGAGAAGGAGAAGGCCTCCTCAGAAGGCGGCGGGACTTCTCAGATGCCCTCGCGCCTTCCGAGAAGTTTTGTTCTGTCTTCGGGGAAGGCTTAGAAAACTTCTCAGAAGTCTGGGGGACATCCGAGCCTTCCGAGAGGGCCCACCCCTTCTCACTCCCCTCCCTCGCTCGCCGCCGAAATTTCGGATTGGGGAATTGTCGGGGGTCCCAAAACCGCGTGATAACGGATCTCGCGGTGACCTCGACATCCCAAGACATCTCACCGCGACGACTGAACGAACAGCGCCCCGAGGCCGAAGAGGAAGATGCAGAAGGGGGAACATGGCCCGACAAGGCACTGTCGTCCTATCCCCGCCGCGCGCCAGCACCAGATCGCCGCACGGCTCCGCGTCACATCAGCTGCGCCGTGGCCTGGCCTTCGGCACAAGCGCAAACGTCGCCGTGCCAAGCTTCTGACATCGCCCGAATCCAGGCCCGCCCCGCGCGGCGCTCCTCCACCGACATGGGCACGGGGAGGCTCGCGTCAGCGTCCGCCACCCTCCAGCAAGGCCTTGGGATGTCGCGGTCGGCGTCGCGGTGACACGCCACAGCGCTCTCCACCATGTGCATGTGCAGCACCTTGAACCTCACCACCCCGACGGGCAAGGAGACGACAGCGGCGGCTGCTACAGGCAGCGAACCATGCACGGCCACGGCCCTCTCGAAGTGCGCGGCGCCTTGTGGGTTGTTTGTGCGGCCCCCCACCGCGCCAAGTAGCGCAGAAATCCTTCACCTCGAGGGCCGTCGGCGACTCGCTGGCACTCACCTCCACCACGGGCATGTCCAGCACTTCGCTAACGTTCACCGTCTCCTCCAGGACCGACGGCGATTGGCCGATACTCACCTTCTCTTCGTGCTTGTCCACCTGACTGCCCTGGTACCCTACGAATTCCTGCGCGCCAAGGGAGTCCACGAACACCTCGCCGTCGTGCAGCGTGTCCTCCTGGAGACCTTCTGCACAACGTAACCTCCGTCAGCATCGCGGCCAACGCCCTCCAGCGCCGTAGGCCAGAACTTGGGGCCCGACGTCAGGTCTGCCAGCACGTGGGCCTCCGCCTTCCTGACCCTCTCGGCTTGTCTGAAGCCGGCCGCCGCGGGCACGCTGAGCCCGCGCCTCCGCCCAGCTGCCGCCGAATCCGCGGACACGCCCTCTGCCGCCGACCGCTGGGCTGGCAGGCGGCGGCGAGCGATCCCCAGCTCGAGGGGGCGCCGGATCCCTCGACGACTGCGCGCGGCGAGCGGCCGACCACGGCTCTGCTGCTGCCACCGGTTGAGCTGCGGCACCCCCGCCGACGCGACGACCACCGCAGGCACGGCGGCGCAGTGCAGGGCAGTGCTGCGACGCGCCGCCTGCGCTGGTCCCGCAGCCTGCGCCCTCCCAGCCAGCGGGCCTGCCAAGACGCTCTCCAAGATCGGCACCGCAAGACCAACCTTAGAATAATAATAATACTAATAATAATAATAATAATAATAATAATAAATATAATAATAATAATAATAACAATCAGAAGAAGAAGAAGAAGAAGAAGAAGAAGAAGAAGAAGAAGAATAAGAATAATAAGAATAATAATAAGAAGAATAAGAATAAGAATAAGAAGAAGAAGAAGAAGAAGAAGAAGAAGAAGAAGAAGAAGAAGAAGAAGAAGCACCGGCAATCTGCGCCAGACCCCCCATCCCTGGCGCGCGGAGCGCGCCAAGGGCGGCGACGGAGCCGCCGCCAGGGAGGCCCAGCGCCGATCCAGGAAATCCGCGTTGAGCGTCGAAAGTTTCTGCTCATGCCGTTCTCTCTGGTCTTCGAGACCTGGGCCGCAGCTCACCAGCCAGCGCCGCGCACGGCGCTGCGATCGTGCCCTGCGGCGCGGCCAACCACAGGGTCTGTGCGCGGCGGCGCGGTGCCCCGCCCTCTCAGCGCCTTGGCGATGCCCTCCGTAGCCCCTCTGCGCGGCGGAGGGCGGCAGCCGGCCTCCCGTCCGCTGCCCGCCGCGCAGCAGCCCGCCGCGCGCGCTGCGCCTGGCCATCGCCAGGGCGTCCACTCCCGGAGCATTCGTCGATTTCGTGCGCGTATGTTTTCGCAAGATCATCCAGGATGTTTCTCGATGGTCCTCGCCGAGAAGCAACGCGCGCGTCCAAGCCACGCCGAGGCACCGGCTCAAGCTAGGTCGGGCGTGTCCTCCTACAGGCGGATTTTGGACGAACGCTTTTTTCTGCAGGAGAAACGATGCGCACGCAATGCGAAAACATACTAAACTAATCGTCCCCAGACTATCTTGTTTTAGTATTTTTGCGTCAGGAGGACGAGGAGGAGGAGGAGGAGGAGGAGGAGGAGGAAGAGGAGGAGTTTTTTCCGCACCGCGCAGCCTTCAGCCCGCAGGGTGTCGCCGCGCCGGCCGCGGCGGCGCGGCGCACCGCGCGCGCGCGGCCGGCGGGCGAGCCCGACCGAACTACATGGGGAAAACGACGGGGGTCCCAAAGGACGGGCTGCGCGGCGCCGCCAAAAGACGGCGCCGCGCCACCCGCCCCCAGGGACCCAGGTTTCGGACCCCAGGACACCCAGGACCGAACCAAAAAGCGGCACGACACGACACGACACGACGGGGGGACGCAACGGCCACGACACGACACGCACGACACGACACGGACGAACGACACGACAGAGACGAGCCGCCGGTCCCGCCCCAGGGCGGCGAGCGCTGGGGGGGGATCCAGCACCGCCTTGGGGGAGGCCACGGGACCTGGCGACCCCCCCGGGGGAAGGAAACCGCACTTTGGCGGCGTCCCCCGGGGTGCGGGGGCGTGTCGCCCCGAGGGCCAGGCGGTCCCCGCCTCCGCCAGGGGGCCGAAGCCCGACCCCACTCCTGGGGGCCCCCCCGGGGCAGGAGGAGCAGGAGGAGGAGGAGGAGGAGGAGGAGGAGGAGGAAGAAGAGGTGGAGCAGCAGCAGCAGCGTCAGCAGGAGCAGCATCATTCTGATATTGTACATATTCCACACACAATTAGGTTTTCATGTGGGGTCCATCCGTTGGAGTAATGTTTGCGTTTTCCTCCTGTGGAGGGACAGGCCCGACTTCGGGCCAGAGATAGACCCCCCGCCGCTGCCACGTGCGCGCCCAAGGCGCGCACGTGCGCGCCCAAGGCGCGCACGCCCTCTCGCGCGCGCGCGCGCCGCCGCGCGTCCCGCGAGCAGCTCCCGAGCCAACAGCGGTCACGGAGGAGGAGGAGAGGGGAGGAGGAGGAGGAGGAGGAGGAGGATGAGGATGAGGATGAGGAGGAGGAGGAGGAGGGAGGAGGAGGAGGAGGAGGAGGAGGAGGAGGGGAGGAGGAGGAGGAGGAGGAGGAGGAGGAGGGGAGGAGGAGAGGAGGTAGGAGGAGGAGGAGGAGGAGGAGGAGGAGGAGGAGGAGGAGGAGGAGGAGGAGGAGGAGGAGGAGGGGGGGGGAGTGGAACGGTTGCCATAAACATAAAACAAACAACTCGGAGGTCCGCGCGGATTTCTCGGATCGCCGCTGGGGCCCCCCTCGGCGGCGCCTCCGGCGCCGCCCCCTGGCGCGGTCTGCGCGCCACGGAGGCGGGTCCAACGCCGATCCGAGACATCCGCGCGGACCTCCAAGCTTTTATGTTTATGCCATTCTTCGCTTCCCTGAAGTAGGGGGAAGGAAGGATGGGGGGAGGAAGGGAGGAAGGAGGGGCCCAAACCCCAGACGTCGCGATTTTTCCCAGCGTTGACCCCAAAAGTCTGGACCCCTTCCCCAGGACCGGTTTTTCGGCCCGAGTCGTTTTCTGACGGTCCCGAGGCCCCGGCAAGGGTCCCCAGAGGCCGAACATCGCGAAGAACCTCACGTCGTGCTGTGTTTCACGACCCGAGAAGGTCTGGGGAGGGAGAGAGGTGGGAGGGAGGTAGCAAAGGGAGGCAGCCTCCAAACCTCCCGAGAAGGCAGCGCCCGGAGGCGCGGCTGGGGCCCGGGCGCTCGAGGCGGCCAGGCGGCTCGCCTGCTCCAAGCGATAGGAGCTCCAGCCTGCCGGGGCTCGCAGCACAGGGCGGAGGGAGACGGGAGGAGGAGGAGGAGGAGGAGGAGGAGGAGGAGGAGGAGGAGGAGGAGGAGGAAGGAGAGAGGAGGAGGAGGAGGAGGAGGAGGAGGAGGAGGAGGAGGGGGAGGAGGGGAGGAGGAGGAGGAGGAGGCGGAGGAGGAGGAGGAAGGGAGGAGTGGGTGAGGATGAGGATGAGGTGAGGATGAGGAGAGAGGAGGAGGAGGAGGAGGAGGAGGAGGAGGAGGAGGAGGAGAGGAGGGGGAGGAGGAGGAGGAGGGGAGAGGAGGAGGAGGAGGAGGGAAGGGGAGGAGGGGAAGAGGAAGAGGAGGAGGGGCGGAGGAGGATGAGGAGGAGGAGGAGGAGGAGGAGGAAGCGGAGGCGAAGGAGGCGGAGAGGCGGAGGAGGAAGAACCGGAGGAGGGGAGAAGGAGGAGGAGGAGGAGGAGGAGGAGGAAGAGGTGGAGGAGGGGAGGAGGAGGAGGAGGAGGGGAGGAGGAGGAGGGGGAGGCGGAGGAGGAGGAGGAGGAGGAGGAGGAGGAGGAGGAGGAGGAGGAGGAGGAGGAGGAGGAGGAGGAGGAGGAGGAGGGGGGGGGAGGAGGAGGAGGAGGAGGAGGGGAGGAGGAGGAGGGGAGGAGGAGGAGGAGGAGGAGGAGGAGGAGGAGGAGGAGGAGGAGGAGGACTCTTTGCACTCTTTGATAGCGGACGCTGTCCTGGGGGGCGCTTTTAATCACTGGATTCGCTTTCATCCCCAGCCCGCTCGGGCTGGGGTTCCTGGGCCTGGCCAGGCCTGGAGGGAGCCGCGCGGTCCAACAACCCCGCTCCCGTCTGGGCCCCCGAAGGCCCAGCAGCCTGGCCAGCCAGGTCGGATCCTGGGTTTTCCGTATGCGGACGCCTGAGCAAAGCCGCCACGTCCGCGCAGGCGGCACCTTCACGAGCCCTGATGGCTTCTAAAATAGCCCTCGGGGGGCCTTCACGACGCGGGAACAAACCTGTGTTTATCCTCGCTAGGTTCTCCGAACCTTTGTTGGTCCGCCCATCACATCTGCCAACTAAATTCCTGGGGTCCACGGTGCAATAGGAACCGCACTCCGAACAAATGTGAAGGAACCATTTCTCCACATACTGGAGCCTGTGAGAGGGGTGAACCTTTTCCAGGAAGCCGCTCCCTCGGGACGAGGGGGCGAACCTTTCTCCAACAGCGGCCTGGGCTCCTCTCCTGACTTCAGCAGGAGGCCCTGAACATTTCGTGGCCGCAAAGACCCGCGTTTGGTAGCGGGGTACAACTCTCTCACAGACCGTGCACCACCAGTATTTCATGCTGCGACCGCATGGCTCGAGGATGTGGTCCGAGGCCTGTGCCGCGGCCACCAACTTGGACGGTCTGGCCTCCTTATTCAAAGGGGCTCTCTCCGCCCGAGTGTTTTCCTCGGCCTCCGCTGCACACGCCAGGGCTCTTCTGGCCCTTCGACGAATCAGCGAAGCTGTGGCATCTATTTTGTCCGTCTCAGGCTCCCGCCCCACCAACCCCCTCCACGCCAACTCCGCCGCCCCCCCCGCCCACGAATCAGCACAGGCGTTGCCAGAGGCATAAACGAGTTTCTCGCACGTGTCTAATTTCTCTGGGGCCTCCTCTTGGTGGGAGGGGAACCAAACAACTTCCGCATCTGGATTTCTCCTGGCCTGGAAGGCTTTGCGGGCCCTGGTCAAGAGGTCTTCGTTGGCGCCCACAGGGTTGGGTCTCCGAAAGCGGGCCCTCCAGGTCCTGGAGATCGTCTTGTGATCAGTCACAAATGTGAAACCGAGATCTGAATCTACTTGCTCTAAAACCAGGCAGAAGGCTAAAACTTCGGCTCGGGGGACCGTTTGCTTTTCTCCGAGCAGAGGAACCCCGAGAGCCTCCCCCAAGGTCCACCCGCCTCCCGAATCAATCACGAGCCCCACGATCGCTGCTCCGCAGCGTCTCCGTCTGGGGTCATCAGAATATTTGCCCCCCGGGCCGTCTCCGAAACTGTGAACTCTGCCTGACTCCGTGCATTCGGCGAAGCCGTGTGATTTAAAGTCCACCTGCAGCTGGCCGAGGAGCGCCTCATCGAACTCAGGAGTGGTGAGCCCAACGGCTGGCACTCCCCGAAGCCAAAGAGCTGGCGACGCCTCGTGCTGCGTCGCCGCCTGCACCACGAGCACCTCCGACTTCTCGAAGTCCTCGTGGCCCTTGTTCTGCTCACATTCCCAAACGCGGTGATACAAACTCTCCTCTTTGAGCAGGCAACGCGGACAAAGCTTGTAATCAATCAGGTATCCTTGTCTGGCGCGCCTCATTCGGGTCCACTGCCCACCTGTGGTGACTATCAGGTTGAGCGCCGCCAAATCTGAAGCTCCTTCATTGTGAAACTTGCGCTGCTCTGCTCTGATTCTCCAGACATCAGCTCCTGGGAGAAGGTCAGCTCCATCCTCGTGCTTCGACGCCTGCTGCCAATACAACCTGCGCATATCACTGACCACATCTCCCAAGATAGCGAGTCTCTCCCAATCATTTGTGTACTCCGTGTCAGTGCCGCTGGGGATAAGCCATGCCTGCAACTGTCCATCTGGTAGTGGTCTGTCCCACTCTGTCACCTTGATGGGGTTCCAGCCTATGTCCATCAGCGTGGCCTGCAGCGTGGCGATCGGGCCTCTGACATAGGCCCACCTCCTCCGTCCAGCCGTGATCAGTCGCTGTCTGATCTTTGGCCAGGCTAACCTGACTCTCGCGTGGATCTGGGGATTCATCTGCCACATCGCCAGCCACTCGTGAACAACTCGTTTGCGCAATTCCAGACCTGGCTCCTTGTCCCACATCTCGATTGCAAGTGTTGTCGTCAGACATTTGCCTCCTTGAGAGCCAGCTGCGATCTGACCCGCCTGTCTTCTAAGTTTCATCAGCTCCGTCGTGGAAAGGCCGAACGCTTGATGTCCGTATGTGGCCTGGGGCAAGGCGCCCGTAGACCAGAGTCCTTTCGCTTCTTTCGCCAAGGTAGTACTTTTCCTCAGCCTCTTGATCTTGCCGAACCGCCTCTTGGCTGCCAGGATTCGTCTCTTGAGTGTGCGTGCAACTCGTTTGCGCCCAGCAGCAACATCGAGGCCCAGGTCCTTCGTGAACGTTTTGGCCTTGGCGGGGGTGCCGTTCTGCTGCAACCTCTTCGCCACGCTCTTGACCATGTCCCTGCTCGAGCCGATGATGACTGTCTTGTCTGAGATCTTGAGCCTCTGTTGACGAAGTCCTTGGGCGAGCTCGCAAGCCACTCTGACCATCTTATCTGAGGTGTCCTGTGCCGTACCTTCCTCTCGAGCCACCGTGTCGTCGACGAATGTCCAGAGTCCTGCCGTCGGTGATATGATGTGCGCTCGCTGTAAGATTGGGTGGAGAAAAACCTTCGCGAGGCTGACTCCTCTGGGCGACCCCGCAACTATCGATCTGGATACCCATATCGCCTCACTCAGCGACGACTTGTCTTTGAGAAACCGTGCCGCCGCGAAGATGAGTACTTCCATTTTCACTGCAACTGCTGGATAGCCGATGCCCCTCGCGATGCGCATCAGCAGCACCAGGCTGACGCTGTCGTAGAACTTCTCGGCGCCCTCCAGCAGGGTAAGGCTGGATATGCCCAGCTCGCACCCCGCCTCGTCCAGGCAGGCGCGGATCAGACCAACCCGCAACGCCGAGCTGCCTTTGAGGGCCGTGTCCCAGTGCGCGCTCAGAGCCTCACTCCATTCGCTGCACGGTGAGGCCCGCGTCCTGCTCCAAAGTTTAACTGGTAGGGGTGGCATCCCCAGCGCTCTCTCTCCGCCTGCTGGTTTGGGAACCACGGCCCCAAGCGTAGCCGTCCACTGCCTCGGCCAAGTGCCCGTCTGCTCGCACATGTTGATGGGGTCGACCAGCTTCTGGCGTGCACTCTGCGGGGCCCTCTTAATGTCGTGCAACTTGAGACCACCCACACCGCCTGCTTTGTTGGGGTTCGTGGCCTACATGGCCGAGTCAAACTCCTCTATTGTGATCGGGTCCAAGTCTTCGTGTCTGGCCTGTCTGTGCATGACCTGCAGCTCAGACGCGATGTCCTCTCTGGTGTCCACTGCGTCCGTCCAGATCTTTAGCCATCTCTCCCTCTTCGTGTGCATGAGAACCTATGGGTCCGCCGAGCTGGCGTTCTGGTGATACTGCTCGTAGGTCGGCTGCGCTGGATCTTTGACGTGCTTGTGAAGGATGCCTGGCTTCTCCGACCACATCTTCTTTGCCCACTTGGTGAACTGCTGCCGCTGTGTGGAGATGCCCCTGGAGACCGCAATTGCCAGGTGATGTTCGATCTCGTCCTTGAACCTCTCAAGCTCGTCCAGCGTGTGTGTCTTGACCTCCTGCACACGCAACATGCGCTCGTTAGCTTCATCATGATCAATTTTTTCCCAAAGATCTGATCCAAACCCATCCTTCTGAGCTGCTGGTAGGTCGTGGACAACTCCTTCTCGCACTTCCTATGATGCATGTCGTCCGTGCCGTTGAGCCGTAGTGGCGCATATCTGGCAATCAAGACTCCCATTATCCACCACAACTCTGCTGCTTGATACTTCATATGCGTACGACCTGGTGTGGCTTTCGATCTTTGCCATCTGATTGCAAAGGCACCTCCTCTGCCTCGGTGCGCATCAGCCTGCTCGGCGTCCATCGCGTCTACTCCGATGATCGCCTCCTCCAGAGTGGTGACCCAGACCGCATGCTCGCCTGTGATCGCCTGTCCCATCAGCTTCTGATGCTCACTTCGGATGAGAAGGTTGGCCTCCAACTCGTGCATCTGCTTGGTCAACGCTGGCCCGATGGCGATGCGGCTGGCCTGCTCCCACTGGTCCTCGTCTATCGCGTACTGCACCGTCTGCTGCACCATGTTGGTCTGTGGGGGCTCGAGCCAGTTGAACTCCTCGCGCGAGTCCTCGGGGAGTTCTGCCAGTCTCTTCTGTTG